GGGAGGGCTTGGCGAGGAAGGTCTGCGTGCAGCACGCCCCGGAGCCGCGGGAGAGGAATTTTGGTAACGGAGCCGCGGTGCTTCGGTTTCTGACCCTCCCGGCCGGTTTGTGGGGGTCTGGGCTCGTGGCAGGCTTGCCTCCACGGGGAGCTTGGCCCGGGGGAGTGGCGTTGCGCCGTTTTTTTTTAAGAAAAAACAGTCTCTGCTGTAACATGGGGCTTCTGAGCACCTCTGTACGCGTGGGGATTAGGCGGGGGAGGACGGGGACTTGAGTGAGGCGTGCACGCATGCCTGGTCTGTTTCGATAAATCCCAAAATACGTAATTTCTGAAGGTGCAGATAGGCCATTGCAGTGCTGGAACTTTAGCCTTCAGTAATAACGGAACGTTAGGAAGTGGGAACGTGGTGGTGTCCCGTTTTGTGTAACTTGTCTTTGCCCTCTAGTGTCTAAGCCAGGCCAGCCCGAGGACGCTGGCAGGCAGCTCAAGAAAAAGAAGAGAAAGAAACCCAGGAAGCAAGCTGAGAAGAGGAATGCTCCTTCAGTCAACCAGGTGGTCTCTAACACCAGTAAACCCACTCCAGGACAGAAGGCAGCCCCTCAAGCCAGCAAATCAGCTCCGCGGGGTGTTGCAGAGAGCAGAAAAGAGGGTTTGGTGGCAGGTAAGAATACCAACGAGGTCGTGGTCTGGCTGAAGTTACCTGAGCTGAGGTGGCTGCTTTTCAGTTGCTTCACACGTGTCTAGTTTGGAAAGCCTTTAAGAACTTCGGCTGAATGGAAAATGTCTTTGCTTCTTCCATGTGCCCTGAAAGCTTATGCGCATGTACGTACATTTGTAACGTCACCACTGGGTGGCTCTCTGGAAACAGGAGCGTTTAGCCTGAATTGCGGACGACTTGTGTATTTGGGTAACTCCTGGGAATTACTGCGTGGATGCAATCTCTGTCGTGCCAGGCTGGCTTCCCACCTTGAATCTGAAAAGCCTGATCGCAAAGAAAATATGTCCTTGGCGTCTTTGTTTCCGCTAGCTTGGTACTTGTCTTCTGGCTCGTTAGGCAGCCACAGGGCATGCCGGGCTACTCTGGCTGGCAGTGTTGAATGATAATATGGATAGAAAAGGGGGAATTCTGAAGAAACCAATGAAATAGAAACTCTTGGCTTCTTTAGATTTTTCTGTTCTATTCACAGCATCTGAAGAGTTCTCAGAGCTTTTTCCGTAGCCGTAGAAAGTTCTCCTGTTTAGCTAGCACTGTCCTTTACGTGTTTTTATTTTCTTCCTCTCATTTTCAGGGAGGAAAAGTGAACTGGGTTCCCCTTCCTTTTTGGCAATGAATCTCTTGCGTCAGAGACTACATGAGAAGATTAAAAAAGCTTCTGGACAAGTATGAGAACCCTTAATGTGCATCCATATGTGTGTTTGTGCAATATAAATTCTCCCTAGCCTCCCAGGGGACGTGGGGACAAGACTGCCATCTTACAAGGCTCAGGGTTTGAGCTAATTCCGTCTCCTAAGGAAGAGCCTGTAGGTATCGATGGGAGACCTGCGTGTCTTCTGTGGTCTGGAAAAACACGTGAGAAAAGGCAGGGCCTGGCTCGGAGGAGAGCATGCCTCTGGTGATTTTTAGAAAAAAGAAGAGCACTAAGAGCCTGAAAGGGAACATAGCTGTGGGGTGTCGAGGGAGAGTAAAGGGTTTGAAATGCCTGTACCGTGTTTAGTATCTCCAGAAGCTGAGCCCACGGCTTCTTGTCGCATGTACTGTGTTTCTTAGGAGAAGTTTGAAATCGGGAACTTGAGGACATCCTGCTTCTAATTCTGCTTTATCCTTTTAAGGCTCCTGATTCATGTCCATCCTTCTTCTTAGGATGATGCCAAGGAATTAACCCCTGCAGTCCTGGAGAAGAGGCAGCGAAGGAAGTATGAGAGAGAGAGAAAGAAGCGCCGAAGAAAGGAGTTGAAGATGAAGGCAAAAATGGAGAAGAAAGAAACTGAGGAGGTACCGGTAGAGCCAGAAAGCAAAAAGGAGGAGAGCACAGCCGAGATTGTCTTTAACAGGGTCGAAGTCCATGAAGAGAATGAGTTGAACAAGATCCAGAAGAAGAAGGAGAAGAGGAAAGCAGTGAAAGGCAAGATCACTCCTCTGACGGGCAAAAACTACAAGCAGCTGCTGAGCAGGCTGGAGACCAGGAAGAGTAAGCTGGAGGAGCTCAAGGATAAGGACCAGAAGAAAGCTCAGGAGGTGGAGACCAAGATGAAATGGACAAATGTTCTCTATAAGGCGGAAGGCGTGAAGATTCATGACAACGAGGAGCGTCTGAAAGCAGCTCTGAAGCGTAAGGAGAAGCGTAAAGCGCAACGCCAAAGGCTGTGGGAGAAGCGGACAGAAAAAGTGGTAGAAAAGATGCAACAGCGGCAGGAAAAGCGTCGCAAGAACATTCAGAAGAGGAAGAAGGATAGGATAGAGAAGAAGAAAGCCAGGGCCCGGAAGAAAGGCCGGGTTCTGCCAGAGGACTTGAAAAAAGCTGGCTTAAAGTGAGAGCGAGGCGGCCGGTCCCCGCAGCCTGGGAGCGGGGGTTCTGCTGGTGGGGC